TCAGCCTCTCCCTGTAACTCAAATCCTCCAACCCTGGCAACATCCTTCTAAATATTTTCTGAACCCTTTCAAGTTTTACTTAAATCAGATACCCTATGACTGGATTCCACCCAATCCGTGCACCATTAAAATCTTGTCAGCTGTTGTGAGTGAATGTGGTAAATTTTGTATATCTGAAATCTGCAGAGTTGACACTAGCTTCTAAATATGCAACCGGTTTATTTATAAGAGTTTTAAAATATCTTTGCAATCACAAAATGTCCATAGTTATGTTTACATTTCACCTTCTTGTAGCTTCTGTCCTTTTAACTGGGAGTCATCTCCAGGACTTTGAACATAAATCAGTTATCAGACTCATAATCAAACAACAATTAAACCATCAAACAGTATATCAATATCTCGGAAGCTAAGCAGGCTCTGGCCTGGTTGATACTTGGATGGGTATCTCCTAAGAATACCAGGGGCAGTAGGGAGAGCTGTTGTGGTGCAGTGGTAGCATCCTTATCTCTGAGCAAGGAGGCCTGAGTTCACTGAACAGTTTGCTTGATAAAAGAATGCTTCTTCTCCTACTGGCAGTGATGTTTGTGACGCAATTTGCCACATTGCCAGTGTCACTTAAAGATGAATGAAAGTAAAACATTGCATACTACGTTCACTTATATGAAGTGCTGGTCAATAGAAATGGATTCACTGTATACTTGGTGATAATATGCTTAACATGGACATTCTTGTCATTGATGTTAGAAACTGGAAAATCATTCCATTGTACACTGGCATCCTTTAAATTGACATTTGACAAAAATGTTATCTTTATTTAATTTTGCACCTTTCTTGAATCTGTCATTGCCATCACCCCAATTTTGTCTTATTCCATTGCATTCCTTATCAGTTATAACTGGAGAATATTATGCCTTAGGAGTTCACAGTACAACTAGTTTATTCCCTAAGATCCTTTACAATGATCATGCAGTGAATTACAAGTTCTATAGGCAATACAGAAATACATATTTCCCAAGTTGTAGTCATACCTTTGATTCCAAGAAGCAACTTTTCTAGTCAAGATGATACTCATTTATAAAAAATGTTAATTGCATAAATGATAGGAGTAGGCCCATTTGATTACAGTAAATATTTCATTTGATAAGCATTGGCCCTAAATTCTGATTTCAAACTGAGGCAAATTTGGAAAATGTATGCCAAAAGAAATATGTTCCCCAAGTAAAATAAATGAGGAGTTTTTTTTTGACTTCGGGAGGAAAAAGAGTCAAAAAGCTTGGACAGCATTTTAGCATGTTTATCAATCAATCAATTAGGCCCTTGGATCTAGCCAAGGCAAAAGGATGGTAGCAGTAAAATACCTGCAAAACATGCTCATGATGGTTAGCATTACAACATGTACCTGCGGCCTGTGTGGTGTTCTTCAATGAAAGCAAATCTCTCCCTCAAGCTCTTTCTCTTGACTTCATCTATATCCCTAGTCCTTCCCCTTTCATTGAAGTAAGTCAGTGGTACAGAACCACAAGATCCAAAAGTATCAGTAAATACTATTTCTTCAAGTTGCTGCTCAACAGGAGAAGCCTCATTTGTAGGAAGCCAAAAACTCATTTAATTTTAAATGCTTAAGTTCTCTTGTGATACAATAGCCATGTGGTTAGTAGTGAGCAAGCTATGGAGTACAATTTATACTATAAAAGAGACACCAGCAGCATGTATACAACATTGAGTGATAAGAAACAGAGCGTAAAGGTCAATGAATTTTTTTTTGGGGGGACAGAGGAAGATTAATAGTGGAGTTCCCCAAACATTGAGATCTTTGTCTTTCCTTATACACATATTAACATCCTGTGTCTGGGTGTGCAGGGGAAAATTTCAAAGTTTGCAGATGACATGAAACTTGAAAGAACTATAAACTATGAAGACAGTGTGGAATTCAAAAACAATGTTGAAAAATTGGTGAAGGGTTGGATGGAGTAGATGGCAAGGGAAGTTCAAAGAACAAAGAAAATTACAGCACAGGAACAGGCCCTTTGGCCCTCCAAGCCTGCGCCGACATGCTGCCCGTTACAACCAAAACCCCGAACCCTTCCAGGGATTGTATCCCTCTATTCCCATCCTATTCATGTATTTGTCAAGACGCCCTTTAAAAGTCAATATCGTATCTGCTTCCACTACCTCCACCGGCAGCGATTTCCAGGCACCTACCACACTCTATGTAAAAAAACTTGCCTTGTACATCACCTTTAAACCTTGCCCCTCGGACCTTAAATCTATGGCCCCTAATAACTGACTCTTGCACCCTGGGAAAAAGCTGCTGACTGTCCACTCTGTCCATGCCCTTCATAATCTTATAGACCTCTATCAGGTCGCCCCTCAACCTCTGTCGTTCCAGTGAGAACAATCTAAGTTTCTCCAACCACTCCTCATAATAGCTAATGCCCTCCATACCAGGCAACATCCTGGTAAATCTTTTCTGTACCCTCTCAAAAACCACCACATCCTTCTGGTACTGTGGTGACCAGAATTGAATACAATATTCCAAATGCGGCCTAACTAGGGTTCTATAAAGCTGCAACATTACCTGCCAATTTTTAAACGCAAAGCCCCAGCCAATGAAGGCAAACATACCATATGCCTTGTTGACGACCTTCTCTGGCTGTTAACCCTCTCCCTTCAGAATGCTTTCTGCCCAGTCAGAGACATTCAATGCAGAGAAATGTGAGGTGATGCACTTTGATAGAAAGAACATTGAAATACAACACATAATAGGGGTCACTATTCTAAAGGGGGTGGAGGAGCAGAAGGACCTGGGTATATACATGCACAGATCACTGAAGATGGCAGGACAAGTGACCACAGCAGTGAATGTTTGGCTTTATTAATAGGTCAGAGTACAGAGCAAGGAGGAGACATTGAGTTTGTACAAAACGCTTATTTGACCTCAGTTTGGAGTACTGTGTAGAGTCATGGGTGTCACATTAAACAAAAGATGTGTGAATGCACTGGAGAGGGTACAGCAGCAATTTATTTTTACTTAACAAGTAATTAGAGTATGGTATCCACTGCCTGGAAGTGTGGAGGAGGCTCGTTCAATTTGGGTATTCAAGTGGGCATTAGATAGTTATTTGAGTAGAATTGTGTGCTGGAACTTAGGAGGCGGGCAGACGATTGTAACTAAGCAATGATGCTTGTTTAAACAGCTGATGCAGACATGATGGGCTGAATGGCCTCCTTATAACAATTCTGTGAAAATATCAAATGAACAGAAATTCAATCTGGAAAAACATCTGGTAATGCATTTGGGGAGGGCAACAAAAGGCAAGGAATTAAACAATAAATGATAAGGTACTAAGCATAGAGAAACACAGTGCATTATCATAGCATCAGTGCTGAAAAACAGCAGGACAATGTAAAATAGACATTTAAGACAGCATTTGTGATCATATCCTTTATTAGTCAAACATAGACTATAACAGTGGGAAGGTTGTGCTAGAACTGCATTAGACAGATGTTTGAGATTTTTCTTTCTCCCCAGGAATGGAGAATATTAGCTATGAGGAAAGATTGGATCACCTGGGGTTGTTTTCCTTTGAACAGAGATTTAATTTAGTGGATTAAAATGAAGAAGGGCCTAGATACAGTGAATAGAAAGGTACATTTTATCAGAATGATTAATAGCAAGTGGGCATGGAAGAGAAACCTTTCAGCAATGCACTGCTTGGAAGTGTGGGAGAGGTCGAAATTCTCATTGCATTTTAAAAATATCACTTGGATAAGCACTTTGGCTAACATTACCTAGAGATCTAAATCCAGTATTGAAAGGTGGATTAAGCTGGAAAGCTCTTTTCTTCTTCCTGGGCCCAGTCTCCTCCTGCTCTGCTGTGAATATTCCACATTTCCATGGGTGATATTTAATGCCTCCCACATCCACCACAAGGCGAATTGGGAGGTGGAGGGCATTTGTTTGTGAGTGAGGCAGCTTTCCCTAATCCCCTACTCCAATCAAACACCGAATAGGGGGCAGGAAACTTTCTGCTTGGAGGCCAGTTGAAGTCCATATGTCACCAGCTAAGGCCCTTACCCCTGTCACAGCTGGTATTTGATGGTTCTGAGGCAAAGGACTCTCCATCTGGAGAGGCTTTGCAGCAAACTCTATCAGGTGTGCCAATGGTCTACTTGGGGTAGATGGCAGGATGGCAGTCTGTGCCCAATCAAGAGGCTTGGCATCAGGAAGATGGGGTGGGGGAGTGCCCTCTGTTGTAAGCAAATCTCTTGCCTTGGTTCTGATTTCCTTGAATCCTCTTTAATGCTGATTGCCTTTCTGTGACCCTAACCAACCTTTGCTTTTCTTTCAGGATCCATTGCTGAACGCTGTTGCAGGCTCACGTTCTGGCTCTGCCAGTGGCCATTGCATTCAGTGGCATAACTGGTACTGGAAAGCTGCCAGCCTCTAGCGACCCAGCAACTTTCGGGGATGGAATGGCTCTCGCTTAGGGACTTAAGGGTGTACCCAAAGTAATTGCCCAGGAAAGTACAGTTCTCTCAGAGAAGTGACACAAGCTCCCACCTCTCCCCCCGTCAATAGGCATGATTCTCTTTGCATTCATTACGTTTCTGCCCATATTTCTAAATAATATTACCTGTGGCTCAAAACATGTTAGTGTTGCCTTCAAAAGGCATTCAGGGACAGGTTGAATCTTTATGTGGAATGTCTTCCCAATTGAGATTCAGAATAGATATTAATCAATCAATAAGTAAAATGGTTTTCAAGATGTCAATATATGAAAGACCATGAACATGTTTGAAAAATGATTTTCACAAAGCCTGCTCACATTGTCTGTAATTCAGAGACATGTGGAAAAAGACCGAAGAAACCAATTCCAAATACCTGGTCATTTAAATCAGACACTGAAATTGATTCAGTTATTTAAAACAATCTGATGATAAATAAATGGTGCAGTGTGCCCTGGTGTATGTACAAATGAAGAACAATGAGGCATTCATTTTCCATAACATTTTTATTTGATAAGGATGACCCATTAGATTGAAACAAGAATTTTCAGGCTTTTGTATGTTCTGTAAAATTCATTAGTAACTCTAACAGTGCTTTTTCAGACATCCGAAAGTTTTGGCTTTCTAATCAAATGTAGATAAACTATGGATGGTCATCAATGCTAGAATCCAGTTCAAAGCATTCTATTTCAACTTGAATTATCAGATTTAAGTGTAATACTGCGAAATAAGACAAATGTCTGTTTGAATTGAATGTAGTTAACTACATATATGATAGTAATTGATTAGGTTTTCCATAATCAGATTAAATTTGACTAAATCTGAGATGGTTTTGTAAAACATTGTTATTTCCATGCAACAGATCTAATCTGATCACTTCATTCAGCCAGTAAAGAGTTCAAAGGTTAATATTGCACTCTCTAGCCACCTAATACAAAAAGCTCCCATTTTTGTTACAGACTACTTTAGAATTACAGAGTCTGGTTCAGTTAAGATCAACCATTCTTCATAAATTTTAAAATTATAAAACAGCAAAGCTGCTAAAGTCATAATAGCAGAAATGAGCCAAAGTCAATTGAGAAAGAGTTAAAAATGAAGCCTGCACAACATATTAAACTATTCAAGCCTTCTCAAAAAGTTCAAGATACTCTAATGACATTCAAGCAAAAAACATATTAAACATACAAGACAACACCACTGCCATTTTAAGATATTACTATTTGGGGAGATTACAATTTGGGATTTTGTACAAAGTCCAATGTTTTGAAGTTCATGGCATTCTTGACTGTCACTAAGGCTAATAAAAAAGTGGAAAGCCTAACTTCTCCATTTAGTAAACTAGCTCATTGTTTTACGACAATTGCACTAGGATAAATGGCATTGAAATCCCGGTAAAGGGAAAGTTTTTAGAAGTAAACTTCGATAAATGAGCAGGACTATAGTCTCATCTTAAGCATAACTGTTTCCATTATACAGAGAAGCAATAGAAAGGGATGATGTACAAGAGGCAATTCAGATTTACTGGGGTTAAGTTTCATTTTTGCTGATTTGGTAGATCGCCCATACATTATAAAAGGCACCCAATTATCATTGCCATTGATTACAAGGGGTTAAAAAAAAGCTTACGTTTTATAACAGGCAGCAGAGCCACTTTGCTACTTTACTTGCCCAAGTGTTCAGGTGGAAATTACCTTCAGTACCCTTTACAGTTCAACTAGGTCACCATCACCAATACTTGACAAATATTCACGGCCTTACTTAAGATTAAACCTAAAAAAAAATGCACATTTGATGTGAGGAAAAATTATACTTTTTGGTTCACTAAAATGTACATCATGTTAATTGTTAAAAACTTTGAAAGGTTACCCTGTAAACAGTGCGATTATATGAAACACTAGACTGCACCACAGCAGCTTGAATTACAGTTGACATGTGACTGTAGAAAGTTATTAAAATACTTCAGAACCTCAATGCTTTTGAGATCAATGTATGTCTTACATTGTCTTAGACTGTCTGACTCCTGTGGTAATACGAAGTAAATTACACATTACTTTCAATATCACTATCATGCTTTCAAATGAAACACAAATACAACTTTACGTAGTCACAACGATGAAACAACAGTTGTCTCAATGCTTACACACTTCCCAATTAAGTCAAATATTAATATAAATTAGTGGGTTTTTTTATAATACAAAAACTGTACCTCTGAATTATCGGCAGATCAAAAAGTTTTCAAATGCATCATTTATCAGCTAAAGGCAGTGACTTCATGACCATCTTTGCAGCAAATACTGTACTGCACATAGCTGCTTGTGAGAATATATCTGAGCCTCGGATGACAAAACCTGCAGCAATATTAGGGCTCTGAGATTATCACTTTAATCAGGTCGTTCTGGTTGAAATTCAGCCCAGAGTTGTTATGTTCGAACGGCCACCAGGGGGTGCACTGATGCGCTGAGTGGGACGACGAGGAATGTGATCATCAGCCTGTGTCCCTACAACAGAAGAATAAAGCAAATTCAGACTGTCATGGAGGAGGGATGATTTTAATACTGCTGTCTTAAAACATTTATATGAAAGTTAATCCCCTGAAATCCACTTTAAACAGAACATATGATATAAATTAGGAGAGGTCAACCTCAAACTAGCACGGATAATATTTCAAATGGAATATTTTCCCATGTAATTCCAATATGCTCAGTCTTTCCACTGTTGCACACATTTTTGCTGTTTTCTCCAAGAGGTGTAATGCCCCACTCTGCCAGAAGAGGACACTTTAGAGTATTCTTCCAACTGAGAGGAAAGGGAAGTACAGACTCAAGGAATTTGATTTGTTTATGTAGTTTCTTTCTTCTCCTTAAGGCATTTTAAAGTACTTCATTCAAATGTAAAATAGGAAGAAACAGGTGCCAATTCACACACAGAAGGGTCATATAAAAAGCACTGTGCTCAGTAAGTAGAAAATCTGTTTCAAGGGTGAAGGTTTTTTGAAAAAATTAGCCAGCCCACCCGCTCTGGTCTCCTCTGAGCATGGCTGTAAGATCGTTTACAACCACCTCAATGGAAAGTTGGGCTTTTGTTTTACTGCCCTGTTATTGTGAGGTCCCTTTGGTCATTGCTTCATGCATATTACTCTCTTCAGCTGGACAAGGCCACATAGTCACCAAATGTCATATCATCTGGCGATAAAAGTTCTGTCACATTGCGACATGCTGTCTGTGAAACATGTGGAATGAAGGGTTTGATGGTGCTGTGATGACATCAAAATGCATTCGTCACCTGAAAAGTCAGAGTCATACCACACGGAAACAGACCCTTCGGTCCAACCTGTCCATGCTGAACATAATCCCAAACTAAACTAGTCCCACCTGCCTACTCCTGGCCCATATCCCTCCAAACCTTTCCTATGCACCTAGACAAGCGTGTTTTGAGATTCTTTTACAATTTTGATCACGTTTTGCACTTTCAACAGGACGATGATGATGGAGGGATGAATCCATGGAATGTACATTTTCAAATACATTCCAGCAACAATGTGACTTGCTTGCAAAGATGAACAGGCTACTTGAATCATTGACTTGCTAGCAACTCTGAACAGTGCGGGAGATCAACTTTGAGAACTAAAGTTGTACTTTAAACATTCTGTTAGAACTTAATGAAAAACTGTTTATTACCAGCCAGAGTGAATCCAGATTGGTGAAGGTTTCGTGGTGGTTGAATCGGTTGTTTAGCCGGAGACATTCTAGCTGATGGAATGGGTGTCATAGCTCTTGGAACCACAGTGACATCCTGGACAGGACCATCATAAATCCCCCTTGGAACACCTCGAATTTCAGCCAACTGCAAAAATGGAACTGATCTTTGAGGCTGCTCTGCTAATATACTTCACAAACGCAACGCCACATCAGACAATTTGCAAAGGCAAAATCTAGGTGGCATATTAGTGTAACCAATAATTCAGATTTTCATTTTGGCATTTAAGTGGGAAGTGTCTAACCATTCAAGAAAATTTGGTATTACAGTGGTTAATCCTGCAATAAGCTGATTAACATTTTGCTGATAACTGCTAACTTTTAAAGGGAATGTGTTCGAAATTTGTGTGTAAGAAGTGCTAGAATGAATCTCCATTGTTTATTTGGTTAGCCATAGGGAAAAAGATATCAGCTACTTAAAATATGCATGGAAAAGAACGGACATCCAGATTAATGTTTAGAAGCCGTATTCGTAAGATTAACAGCTACTGCAGTTACCATGCAAACAAATGATATGGAAATGTCCACCCTCATTGATGGTCACCAAACTGGATGCATTATCTCAGTAATTATTAGTCACATTCCTTGGCTTGGCAAAAATGTGAGCTTTCAGTTATAAACCAGGGCACCTAGGCTGAGAAAATTGGTCAGCATTCTCCAAACTAAAGCATGAGATCAGGTTAATATTATATTCTGTAAACAAATGAAGCTTAAAATTGGCATATCTGAAAGTTTCTGGAAAAGGAATTCCTTCACTGTATTAAATTTAAACAGAAATTTGAACTAAGATAACTTGCCCAAATCAAAATCAAAGAAAAACATATGACAGTTCTAAGTAGTGGGGAACTGTATTTATCCTGTCCAATGAGTATGTGCTCATCACACTACATGACATGTACAAAATGAAATGTAAAACAATTATACTGTTGTGTATTTTTGGATTGATGCTAAAAGGGAATGATTTAACCCCTCCTTATTGAATACTTGATTGTTAATCCAGGTCTCTGGATTATTAGGATCGTATCATAAGCAATACACTCTCATACCCAAAATGATCAAATGCGCAAAAGTTTTACAGAGCTATCCATTCTAAGTTTATATTTGCAATTAATTGTCCTGAAGTGGCAATACTAATGTAGAAATATTAACACATACCTTGCTTCTTGCTTTTATTCTTTTGTAAACATAGTCTGGGAATGTCTTCTTGGGAATGAAGCGCCCTGAGCCCTCTGTGGCATGAATTGTCCCATACTCGAGTACAATTTTACCTTGGCTTACAACAACAGAAGGAGCACCACGACATTCCATTCCTTCAAATATGTTGTATTCGATTGCCTAAGAGATACAATTCATAAGTGATACACAACTCATCAGACTGCAACCCGAGTGAAAATGCAACTAAACTCCCTTTAGCTGCACAAAAATGTTTTTCCATTTATTAGCAGGTTCTGAGTGCTCTTAGCAAGCTCCCATCTCCAACAGGCCTTGAGAAGGTGGAGGTGAATTGCAATCGCTGAAGGGAGCGCTCTTGACTTTCAAAACCAAACCACTCCCTTCTGAACGAAAGCACTGCGATCAATTCCTGCAGCAATGCAGCACGCCCACTAGCTCTGCAGCTGCAAAAAGAAACAGCAAGAAGCACCTCCTGACATTTGAATGCTGATGTCTTTAAAGAGCACTGCTCGAGTTCCCTCAAGCCCCCGAACGCAAACTTAGCTGGAGTGTGTGTGTGTTTAAAGCGGGTGGTAACAGGACCAGTAAGGTCCAAAATGATAGGTCAGGTCTCATATCAGTGTAACCTGCTGACTCGTTATAATCTATGCTCTCTACATGCATCCAGAAAACATGCACACGAGCAAACTTCAAAACATAGCAATTGGTGTAACAGTGTAGCAAATTGGTGGAAGCAGAGACCATGCCATTTTCTCATCAGCCAATTCCTCAATAGCATTGAACTCAGTGGTCCCAGAGAGCCAAATTTTGAAGAGATTCTACCAAGTCTGTGACCTTTGGTCACACAGATGTGTTTTCAGCATTCCTGTTTTAATTTCAGATTTCCAGTCTTTTGATTCTTTTCTCTTTGCTGCAATTACCGACTGCTGAGGTAGAAATGCTAGTTTCCCTGGGCTCAACAATTGTTGCATTTTGCTATACTTGGTGTACCACCCTGAATTGTATTCAAAATACTGCTCCCAAAGCAATCTATATAATATACTGAGAGGAAACAAATCTTGTATCCAAATGCTATCCCTAAAGAACTAACAGATATACTCAAAACATCAAATGAGGAACCTGTCTTCCCATCAAATATACTGCATTCACCTCCTTAAATTATATCTGAGTTAATACAAAATAATTGCAAATTAAAGACAGCTACAGTACCCTTTCACCATGTTAGTGCATGGCCCAGTGAGAGAAGAACATCCTCAAGTGTGCATTAGTCAAAATGCCAGGAAACGTACTGTCATTTTTCTGGCTTATGGTTTTGATGACACATTGTGCGTCATTTTGTGACATCCAATATCATGTCATATTCATTAGTTTCAAGATACAACCTCTGTTCAAAGTGGACAATGTGACCTTTTTGTCATTTCTAGATGGATAAGGATTACCTGACATGCTTTTGAAAATCATTAAAATGTTAAATGACTATGGGCAATAGATCTTCATTTGAAGACAATAAAAATGTGAAACTACTTGTGAATTTGCACTTCCTATTACTTGGTTATTAACCAAAGCTCAAATTCAATGGTTCCACACTTCCCCTGCCCCAGACTCACTGTTTGCAAACCCGAAACTTAACAAAAAGATGTGTGGAGAAACCAATGCATCGCAAGCAGGTGTGTACAGCCAACATCCATCCCTCATTGTCCGCAATTGTGTGTGGACAGTGGCGGTAATGATCATGCGGTTACATGATCAAAACACAATTCAGAAAGCAAATATTATAACCCCAACAACCAGCCAGAGGGATTCCCTCTGATTTCTTTACTGTTCTCTTCTTCAATAAGACAAGTTAGTCTGGAAACCAACAGGACACAAGATGACAGAACCCTGCTTAACAATCAGTCAATCAAGGCTGTGAGGCAGAAGCTAATTTGTTCCCATCTGCAAAAAATCTTTTCACTTTTTCTATAAAAACTCAGCCACAACTTTGGCTGAAAGCCCAGAGACTTCCAAATTCTACTTATCTGTAAAGAAACACTTGGGAAGACCTTATTCATCCTGAAACAAATTCATATTAAAGAATTAATTTAATCTTGTGATGCATTTTCTTAGTATTCCATTAACAATGTGAATATTTTGTTGTGTTTACGTTCTGGGTAAGAGTAAATGTCAATTGTTTCTTCTCATTTAAACATCACAAAGAATGTGTCATGTCTATTATTAAAAGTCACAACAGTCAAAGGGAGTTTAATAACACTCCTTCCAAAAATGTACTTGTTGCAAAAGCTGAGAGATGAGGGAGAAAAGGAAAAGATATGCTGCTATCACCTCTCCCTATCCCAATTAGTGAAACTACTCCCAAACCTCTGGGAAAACACAAATCCTTAAATGAGAAAAATGAAAGCACAGTCAGATTGCCAAAATGCCAAGAAGTAACACTCTCATCACATGGCCTTTTAATCAACTGGATCTGAACAGCTTCCAGCAACATTGAAACATATAAACTGGGTTTTGGGTTCAATACCCTCAGTTGTCACGGATATTAACTTTCTTCTGAAATACACGGCAGAGTTGAATTTCTGAACTGATCCTAAAGTTGCAACAGCACTTTCATTCTGAAGAGGAAAACTATGTTGTACCAATAGAAAAGCAAGAATAAAACTGGCCATTAGAAACCATCAACTGGCCAAGATGAATGTGTTTGTAGATGTCCTAAGGAAATGTTAATTTAAGATCATAAATCTTTGTTAATGAATAGCTCTCCTCAATGGCTAAGGTGATCAGCAATTAGGGCTTGGCAACTGATTTGAGTTCTAGCAACAAACAAATTACAAATTCCATTGATTTAAAATGATCTGAAATTAAAACAGGAATGCTGAAAACACATCTGTGTGACCAAAGGTCACAGACTTGGTAGAATCTCTTCAAAATTTGGCTCTCTGGGACCACTGAGTTCAATGCTATTGAGGAATTGGCTGATGAGAAAATGGCATGGTCTCTGCTTCCACCAATTTGCTACACTGTTACACCAGTTGCTATGTTTTGAAGTTTGCTCGTGTGCATGTTTTCTGGATGCATGTAGAGAGCATAGATTATAACAAGTCAGCAGGTTACACTGATATGAGACCTGACCTATCATTTTGGACCAAGCGATAGCCAGTAAATACAGGATTAATTAGGAAACTATTAGAATTACCAGATTGTGTGTCTTTGCTGAAATGATTTTGACAGCTTCTGGATCCCAGATGACTAAATCAGCGTCAGAGCCAACAGCAATTCGTCCCTTTCTTGGGTACAGATTGAAGATCTTTGCAGCATTTGTACTTGTAACTGCTACAAACTCATTCTCATTCATCTTTCCTGTAGCCTAGAATACAAAAATTATAAAAAAAACACAGGGGTTATGTTGTCTGAACACAAGTCTCCAGTTATTTGGTATGCTGCATTTTCTTCATACCCTTCTAGTGAAATATATCCAGAAACCAGTCTCAATTTGTGATCATTTAAAAATCTCCTTTCCTTGGAATATTGCATGGGAAGAATTATTTTCTGGCTAAACAATGGGAAAACCAAAGTCTTTGTCTTTGGTCCCCAACTTTAACTCCATTCCCTAGCCATTGACTCCATCCTTCTCTTTGGTAACTGTCCAAGGGTAAACTAGGCAATTTGCAACCTTGGTGTTGTATTTGACTGCCAAGATCAACTTCTGAACACCATATCTATTCCATCACCAAGATCACTCAGTATCACTTCTGTAACGTAGACCCACTCCACTCCTGTTTCAGTTAATCTGCTGTTGAAATGGTCCAGCACGCCTCTGCAATCTTTAAACATGAGTATTTCAATGCTCCCCTGGCCAGCCTCCAATCTTTGATCTTTCATAAATGTGAGTTTGTCGAAAAACCTTGCTACTCATAGCCTACACTGCACCAACTCCTGATCACCCATTGCTCTCAACTTAGCTGACCTATACTGACTTCCAGTGGGGTAACTCCTCAATTTTAAATATCTCATTATTGCTTTCAAATTCCTCCGTGGAATCACCCTTCCTTATCTCAGTAACATCCCCCAGCCTTCCAAGATCCCTTTGCACTTTTCCAGAGCTGCCTCTTGAGCATTCTCAGTTCTTAATCAGACCACTGTTAATGGGACTTGCCATCAGCTGTCTGAGCCCATACTCCCTCTGGGATTCCCTCTGATTTCTTTACTGTTCTCTTCTTCAATAAGGCAGCTTAAATTACACTTCTTTGACCAAGCTTTTGGTCACAAGTCCTATTATTGGCTTATTTGGCACAGTGACAAATTAAGTCTGATCATTGCTCCTGTGAAGTACCTTGGGATGCTTTCTCATATGAAAGATGCTACATAAATAAAATTCATTGCTACTGTACTTGTGTGTTTAAATTGTTCTAACAGGTAAGAGAGCCAGAGAATTTCTAAGGTCCTGTGTCAACAGGGTAGGCCAAGTGGAAATTCCAGAATTGAGAGTTTTGCATGTTAGCCATGGTCTATAAACCTTCATTAATCTACCTTGCAAGGCAGAGTAGAGTATCCCAGGTACCAGGTGAAACAAAGGATTCTTTCCAAAAATAAAATCTCTTTGATGCTTATGGAACCCCTCCAAATATCGATCCCTTGTGGGATCGACAGATTACTCTAGCATGGTTTTAAGGACATTAATGGGCCCCAGGGGGAATATCCCCAGATCTCAAATGCCTGACTGAGGTCATCCTCCATTGGTGTAAAGAAGGAATTTCACCAGGAAGCCAAGGACTGCCCCTCAGTACGCTTCCTTGATAAAGGATATGTATATGGAAAATATGTCCATCAACCATCCCTGCCTCACTTTCCCCTAACAAACCTCAGCCAAATTGACAGGTCTGGTCTGGTCTGATTAAGAAGGAATACCAGTATTGTAAGTACTCGTGTCCGCTCCATTCCCAGAAATTTTGGATCTCAGTATCAGTCATTTCAGACTCCAGTTATATTTGGGAGCATTTTGGTGTTCAACTACAGTAAAACTGTGATCTATTGCCATTAACAATATTTCGTAAAAAAAAGAGAAGTACAACAGCAGTCTACAGCAATTAGTTTTATAAGATTAACATACCACAGCCTTATCCCAAATAATTGTCATCCTTTCTTCAATACCATTAACTCCTTCCGGGATCAGTCTGAAGTCGTCTTTTCCAACTGCTTTCTGTGCAGTAGTAAAGGCACAATGAGCGCTGCCAGTAACCTGCAGATCGCCGCTGTATTTAAAAATAAACCAGACCCGTGTGTCAGAACGAACAGAACCAATTCGCCATCATGATTCCAAAGGGACCCTTATACTTTTTGTAATGAACTCTAATAACATAAAAATGTGTTAACAATTTCACTACAGTTAGTTTCCAAAGGAAACCCTTCCCAATGAGCTGCTGTCCTGAATGCTTATCCAATAAACAATTAAAGCATAGATTGCACAATTTGATTTCTGTCTCATGTTGTATTCTTTCACCGATCATTGGCTTTACAATCGTCCATTATTACCTTCTACAGTACGATCAGCCTTTCTAAAATATTAAATAGGAAATATTTGTGAATGGTGAGTCCATACCAGGAGAGGAGAGAATTTAGGTAATCGGGGGTAGACGTATCAACGCTGAGTGGAGGAGAAGTGACAAAGGCTGCAGCTTTAGCCCAGTTTTTACTCCAGTAGTGGGATCCATCAGTCCCAAGACTTGCTGTGACAGGCTCTCCATATACCACTGCACCTGTCAAAACCACACAAAGAACTGACTAGTACTACGACCAAAACAGGTTCATTAGGTCATAATTCTTAAAAGTTTTCTATTTCATTTGTTAGTGGCGCAGCTTGTAGAAACAAAATGGTTTAACTTAAATGGCTTATTGAAAAAATAGAAATCCAACAAAACATAGACAAATATTTAAGTAAAAGTGAATTTCTTTCAACATTCTAAAAAGACACATTTAAATGATCAAAGCAGACACTGTGTAGGTGATCAGTTAATCCAGTTATGCCCATCATAAGGCAGAACATCATTCTCTCTCCTCAATTGTCTCAGATGTACTGACTGAGAGCAGTTTCTTGTAGCATTGTGAATGCCATAGATCATCCCAGGTATATTGCTTTTCTTGTGAGCATATCATGCTCCTCCTGCAGAATTACTTCAAATCTCAAAATTATAATGTTGGAAGAAGTTTTTTTTTCAACAAAGCAGTTGTTTTCAATGCAACATTATGTTTTAAATCACAGAACAGCTGAAGATAATCAAAAGTTTGGGCTTTTCTTGGAAGCAAAGCCAAACCTGAATTAGATCACGGGACACTTACCAATGCTATTGAGTAAAGGCTGGCATCAACCTATTTTCCTAATCAACGTGTTACACACCTCTGGAGCAGGTAGACTTGAACGCAGGCCCCCCGGTCCATGGGTAGGGACACTACCACTGTGCCACAAGAGGGCCCCAAAGGTTGGCATTAATTATAACTATCAGAATTACTTCTTACAACCTTTAACTAGAGCAATAAATCACAGGAATTCAGAAAGCAGTAAACCTGAGAAATATTCTAATTAGTCTGAAATTGTCTTCAGACCAATGGTATACCCTGACGGAATTCCAGCAACAAATCTGGTATAAAAACAGAACAGGCCCTTGTAATATTTGCTTTCTGCCCAAATAGCTGTGGGGGCAGAGCAAGGGCCATGAACCTGTGCCAGGGGTCAGGAAGATCTGTCTACTTTCTTGAAGTTTGACATGTAAACGACGATTCATGTGTTTCAACCAAATCACCTACTCTTCTGTAAGGTGGGGCAAAAATCCCCATCAGTTTATGGATATACCTCGGACTAAAACCCTCTGAAGATGCAAGTTTGTGGATATTACATTGGGCTAAAATTCACTGAACTTTTGGACTCAAGAACCCACGGCCCTCAACCGAACTAGGAGAAGGCTGGTTGGGACAGATTGGATAATATGCAAGCCCAGGGGTGGATGTCTGGAACAGGGGTGAGCCTGCAAAACTGAAAGACCCCCCCACCATTCACGCCCCAGCTTAAAACAAAGGAAGCCAGACTGCAGGAAGCAAACAACTTCAGGCCTTCTGGGACCTACAGAGGTACAAAGCCATTCAATTTCCAACCAGTGCTCAGGCACAGAAATACCAAACATTCCACACCATTGCGCTACATGTAAACCTGTTTCACCACTGGACGCAAGAACATTTAAACTACTATTCAAAACTTAACGAACACCCATCCATGGGAAATACTGGACATTCCAAACCATCGAAACCATTCAACTTAATCAAAAAGCCATTCACACCTCCTCCAATGATCAAGAAGCTCATTCAGCCCCAAGAAGAGGAACAATAGTTGAAACCAGATTTGGCAGGAGATAAGGCGGCCTGCAGTTGGGTATATCCCAATCCCAGCATTGTGCACTGAAATATCAGCAACGCGCTCCAATTCCAACTAGGTGTATGCTCTGAGGTGGGGTCTGTGTGAGCAGTTTGCAAGAGGGGTTCGAGGGTCCGAACAAGAAGCAGGCCCCACATGCGAAGGAGTCCTTGAGCCAAAGCCGCGAGGAAGGGAAAGGAGATCGGTCAGACTTACCGGATCGAGAGAAAAGTTCCTGCAGACGCCTCGGAGTCAAGGACTCTGCGAACCCTCCACACCGAGAGCAACCCTCGCAGCCACCAAATACCATCAACTAACCACGAGCTTCCACTTGACGCCTGGAGGCGACCGAAAGCATCCGGAGACATAAGACACCGACCGGGGCAATACCAGCAACATCCATCACCATCCAAGATAATGACCTGCTCGCAATGACCACCAACAAAGAAACCCAAGGTACTCACCTGTCAGGTCCAACGCACCTAACTACATCAGCGGAAACCCACCAGACTGAGTTATTAGCACTCACAGTCCACTACGGAGCCCCAGCAATGGCAAGAGACTATGGACAACAGCAAGTCGAAATCGCATTCCATTCTAGGAGTGAGCCTAAGGTCATCGAGACCCTTGAACCAGCTTGGCTAGTCTAAGATAGGGGAAGGTGGGGCTTGGGGGCAAACGATGTAGGGCACCCCTAAGGGAGGGAAGCAGGGTAGGACCTCAGGTTAGCAGGTAATTTCTCTCTCTCTTCCCCCGTCTCTGTCAGCCGTTACGTAACGACCATTCTCTGTAACTATTAGACCAACTGTATCAAGTCTTGGCTGCTAGGCCTGACTGGGGGTCAAGTTAACTGTGAAATAGGTCTCAGTCAGTAATAGTCAGGTTTGATATTCACTTTCCAGTTTTCCTGTAAATATATTCAATTTGCTTGTTTTTCAATAAAATCGGAGTTTTCTTTGCCTCTGAAGCATCTGCCTCCTGTGTTTGTCATGACACCACATTCCACAACATGAGGCCAGTGTCAGAACCAGGGAGCTGGTGAACAATAAACCAGACAGCACTCCGTACATTTCTAAGCTCCAGCAGACACAAGCGCAGCTTATCCAACATTTACTCATTGGACAGCCCACCCATTACCGGTAATAGGCTGGTAAACTTTCTGTAAACTGCTTCCTCAAAACAAGGACAGCAATAGTACATACAACATTCCAGATGTCATCTCACCGGTATTCTGTATATTTGCAAGATAACCTCCTAACTTTTGTATTCGATTCCCCTCACAATAAAACAAGAACATTTTATTAGCTTTCCTGTTTACTTGTAGTATGTGCATTAGGACACCCAGATTCCTCTGCATCCTGAGCTTTGCAATCTCTCACCGTTTAGGTAATATACTTATTTTTCATTCTTCCTGCCAAAATGGACAAGTTCACACTTTACCACATCATGCTCCATTTGCCAGATCTTTGCCCACAATGAAAATATTGACATCCCCTCGTAGCTTCCTTATGTTCTCTTCACAACTTACATGTTCAGAAACCATACTTTCAGTTCCTTCAGCCAATGCATGCATACAAATTGTTAAAATGTGAGGGCTCAGCACTGATCCCTGTGGCTCACCATTCATTACATCTTGTCAAGCAGAAACGTAATTTGCTGTTTACCTTTCTTCCGAGCTTGTGCAATGATATCTGCAGCACTCTTGCTCATGACTTTGGTGATATACAAAGGGCAGTTGGCTTGGCTTGCAATGGTGATTGCACGATACACTGCTTCAGCCTCAACCTTGAAGAAATGTTTTTATTTGTTTTATGCTCAACTGAAAAATGTCTGCACCATGCCCTCCTCCCACCTACATGTTAAGCAGATTAAAAGAAGCACCATCCTTCTTTCTAAATTCTCCACTCTTTCAGAGTTCATTAGAAAGAACACACACATTCCCTATTTACAGCTCGCTCATTGGTACAATTTTAAAGATGTTCACATGTCAAAAATTAAAGATTCAAAAATTTAAAGATGTTTGCTATATCAACATGTTTAAAATTTTAGTTTTTTTTACATTTAAGAATTTTGAATATACAGCAATGTATTTGAACACTGAGAAAATCAATGATTAGATTCCAAACAATGTTAACTCTTGTGTAGTAAAAAAAAGACATTCCAAAAGTGAGATATGGATCTGAAAACACACTAATCATCCTTCATTTTTGATATTAATAAAGAAACAGTATTTTTCAGTATTCTGTTTCAATTTTAAGCTTCTTTAAAGATCTCCATGTGCACTCCCAGACAAAATGACAAGTCACTTGCTCCTAATCTATTGGCACTACAATATAGTAAATAGATCATTGACTTCCTGCGCAGCAGCATTTGGTTACCACTCTACTGTCCTCTGTGAATACCTACTTTCAGCTTTCAATACAGCGATGGCTCTAGAAATAATTTTGTAAACCCAGATAAGTAAAGTTGAGATGATAAGCCACACCTCACCCAACCCTGATTGGTAGGTGGCAGAGACGGGAGGTGAGGTGTAAAAATTGGGTTCACCGGGTCAGAGTGTCAAGCACCTCACACATCATCCCTGAATTTTATAAGTACCTGGGTGGTGTCAGGTGGCTAGCCCACCAAAGAGCTGATGGAATCATTTAATAGCCTCTTCCCTCTGCACTGGTATTTTACCAGTGGCAAGAATTGGCCTGAAAATCACACGTATCCTAGTGCACCGACTATAGGTTTGGGGGAAAACACAGTCCCTTCTGTTTGGGGACTCTGTACCCTACATAGGATGTGTACAGTGGGAAAGGCCAACCCCCTCCCGTCGATCAGTCACCTCCCTGTTTGGGGCCTACTTGACAGGCTGTAGTTAATTGATTCCCATTACCTGCTTCTCCAGCCTCCAGGTGTGGCAAAAGCCATGACCTCAGGCTAAAAATTGCATGACAACTGTAAAACCAGATTATGGCTCACCTGTCCCTACCCCTGATGTTCCCAGAGCAGGGTCACCATTTCCCTATTCAATTCTGGACCATAATTCAGTTGCTTGTCCCACTACATTTGCATGGCTTTCAGCATTAGCTACATGTTTCTTGAATTAGTGAACACAATCTCCCAATACAATCATTTCTAAATGTGGCAGAAAATTGTGTTACCTCTTCTGGCCGACTAAGAACATGTCCCTCTGGTCCAGTAATTCCAAGCTCCAACATTCGTTTCTGCTCCTGAAAACAGATGGAAGCATTAAAATTACAAACAGCAGTGCTTTTGGTGCTATAAAAGAAATGATGATCTTGACACACTTTACAACATTGGTTGTAAAGCTACAGAAAAATTTACATGAATGGTTCAGGGTTGAGGAAAGCTAGTTATGAAGAACGATTTAGAAAATTTAGAACTAGTGATTAAAGAAAAAGTGTTTATGCAGTCTGCTAATGATACTAATGTCATAGAGATGCAATTGCATCCATTTCAACCTCTTCTAGTAAGAATTGTAGGGTCCTGAAACCAAATCCTGAGTGAATGTTGAGCTTTGTTAAGCCATGCCAAATGTGTGTATGGAGACTGGGGAGGAAGGCATGGGAAATTTAAGAACAGTTATGAGATACTGTAGTTTCAAAAAGCAAAATTCATTGCTGAATTTTTGAAGACTGCATTTATTAACTTAGATAACCTTCCAATGATTCAGCTTCGGATTGATCGTCAAATTCTAATTTTACCTCCTGAATGATATCTCCATTTTCGGCATGCACCTGTGCTATAGCACCCAGATCTCGGATAATGCTGAAGATTTCATATATCTGTCACAGAAAAGAGCAGGTAGTTGACATTGGTACTGTAGGAAGCATCCTTAGCCAAGCAGAAATAGATGTCAGGGCTAATAGTTTAAGCGTCTCTGAAGCATTACCTGTGCGTCGCTGCACTGGTATTGGTCTTTGTAAGCCATGAATACGAGAAATGAATTTATACCTAGGTCAACAGAAAATAGTGAAAATGCTGTATACTATGCAGAAGTTATAAGTTGCAGTCAGCCTTTGCTTTCAATATATCGTCACTGAAAACATTTTCACATCAGTGTTTCCATTACTCAGGCTGGATTTTCAAATTAGTGTAGGGTTTGTACAATTTCTAAATTGCAGTCACAGAGCTTGTCTCAAGATCCCAATTCTTCTCAGACAATTTGAAATTATTAAAAAGCTGGTTGAGTGTGAGAATACATCACAATTAAGAGCTCATTTAGCTTCTTAAGGAACTTGTTAAGGTGCCAGCGTGATGGGGTCTGTGATTTTTAAAGGTTTCTTTGCCAAACCTGAACAGCCTGGAGCACACTGGTGCCCAGTTGCAGGATTCACTTCAGGACATCAGAATGTTTTGCTTCTTTAGTGTAGAACTGAAGTTTCATGAACCATGCTGTGTTGTTTTGATCGCTGTACTTTCACATTGCGTTCATGGGCACTGAGCCCACCTCCTGCCCGATTATATTCAGAAAAAGCACTGCAACAGTAACACAGTTCAGGCTTGGGGAAAGAGAAAAAATAATCAGTCTAGAATGAAAATTCATCTGTAAGTTCTAACGAGGTGAGTTTCAAAACAATACCATTTTAGGTCAATCGATTAATCTCCATGCTGGAAATGGTTTAAAATATTGACATTTACCTTTGTCCTTGACCAAGGTTTCCATCTCTTCACGCAGAGCCTCATGCCAATGTGTAATATCTATATGTAAAGAGTAGTCACAACAGGACTTGCTGTCAGCCCATTCTCTCCACTGCTCATAGGCAGAAATAAGGCTTGATCCAGGTTCAGGTTCAGAAAGCACATGATCCACTACATTCGACGACAAAAATACAAAGGTATGCAGTTAATTTGAATGAGTCAGTACATTGTATCTTAATCACGTAATTTCTCATTTGCTACATTTTCTCATTATCTTTTCCTGTGACTCAGTGTTTCCCAATGCAAGACCTATTCCATCGTGTGATTAGGATTGTCTGTAACATGAACATCTATACAGTTATGGCTATCATTTTTCTGACCAGCTTATGTACTCTAATTCCGTTAAATCAAAATGTTGTGTTAGTGGAGAGACTTCTTTGTGAAGTGCACCACCAGAGAGGGTGCATACGCTATGACCAGTTTTGTCCTAAAAAGATCCTGATTTGTATACTGAAAGCACCCTAGCACCTGGAACAGGCAAGCATTTTGGCCAAGTAGAAATGTTTGTCTCTAAAAACAGTCTTTATTCATTAATGGGATGAGGGCATCGCTCACGAGGCAGCATTTATTGCCCATCCCTAATTGCTCAGGGGGAGGTTAAGAGTCAACCACGTTGCTGTGGGTTTGGAGTCACATGTAGGCCAGACCAAGTAAGGATGGCAGTTTCCTTCCCTAAAGGACATTAGTGAACCAGATGGGTTTTTACAACAATTGACAATGGGTTCACAATCATTAGATTCTTAATTCCAGATATTTTATTGGATTCAAATTCCACCATCTACCGTGGCAGGATTTGAACCTGAATCCCGAGAATGTTATCTGGGTCTCTGGATTAACAGTCCAGCGATAATACCACTAGGCCATTGCCTCCCCTGGGGTGTTGTGCTTACAGCCAATATTAATGTGGCAGTAATTCGATTGAACCCACTTCAACTTACTGTGAGACGTTAATGTTGATTTTGCAAGTTAATATTGGTCCCTTGACGTTTGGGTCAATTGTTAGACAAGCAATTTCCTGTGTCAATTGTTAGACAAGCAATTTTCCTGTGACTCATTTTTTGCATGGTAATTATTCACTGGTTTCTCACCAATGAAAACACTAATAAGACTATTAGGCTAAATAATTTAAACGAACAGATGAAAATAAGATTCAATGTATTATATTTTGGATTATTTTTAAAAAAAAGCTTCTTGAATCAACTGCAGTGAGTAGAAAATTATTTGGTTCGTACTTATCATTGTGGTTCCCCCTGCCAGTGCTGCTTTTGTTCCTTGGTAGAAGTCATCAGCAGCGGTCATGCCCATGCATGGCATTTGCAAATGAGTGTGGACATCTATTCCACCAGGTATGACCATCTGTCCATTGGCTTCAATTGTCTTTACACCTCCAGGGACAATGAGATTATCTCCAAGTTGTCTAAGAAGTAATTACACAATGTGTTAGGCTTTTGACCATGCTGTACCAAAAGTAGCATTCATAAGTAGCAAGTACAGCCTTTCACAAAACCAATTTGATTTACAACATCAAGTCCTCATTCTTCCTAGCCTTCTAATAACTGTTTAATTTTCTGCCCCTGTGCCTTAGAAGGTAAAGTGTCAATTTAAATTGTTTTCTTCTTTGCCTTTTTCACTCATTTTTCCCCTAAACTTTTTCACCTTCATCCTTCTCAAAATCGTACAGTTAGAAGTTGTACCAATTTATGCAAACTCATGTATGAATGTAACAGTAAATAATTCTCTTCCTGTTTTCATCTGTCCTAATAACCACAGAGTTTTGTGACTTGCCGAGTTAGCTGAGAGCGAATCAGTGCAGAACAGAAATGAAAAATCAGCCATGAGAATACCAGTGCAAAAGAACCTTTACCATTGTATTGTCTGACAAGACAGAATCAAAATCTGATTTGCATTTGCTCATACTTGTCACAGTACATTGCCAGGTGAAAACAATTTTTATTTTACTTAACAGCAGGATATTGGGGGCAAAAAAATTGTTTCTGGGTGGATACGCCCTTGGAGACAAGGTTCTTCTACCCATCTTCCTGACCCTGTCCCATCCTCCTGAACTGGGCCTTATTAGTTATACAGGACAGACACCCAGATGAACTTCTGTTGTACTAAAGGAACCTGGAGCTATTTGCCAAGAAAATAATACATTTTGCAGTGGGGAGTTTGTTTATTGCAGTGATTTAAGGCATCAACGCATCGTAATGTCTTCATGATGCAACACTGACTTATCCACCGCTCTGTCAGCATCTGAGGTACCATTTTTAAAACTGTTAAAAAGATCACCACAAGAGACTTCTGTGATATTTTCTTTTAGGTCTCAGATAACACCAAGCCTTTTTAAAAGGTGTGGGCAGGGATGTGGAAGAGAGATACAAATGACCTGTCCCTGCAAATAGCTACTCAGTGGGTTTTCTGTCACTGTTTCAGAGTTATCACCTCTCCTTTCCTGACAGTCTTCAGTGGAAGCTGAGAAGGGGCAGGAGAGGTAAACAGATTGCCAGGCACAGTCTCCTAACTGTCACCTACATGAGGTAGGTAGGCAGCTAACCAAATTCTATTCTAGAGCAGGGCAAGAGAAATCAAGATTCTTGTAAGTGCTGGCAAGAATGAGGATGTGGCTTTAGGCCTCCTTACACCACTTATTGAGATTTTTAACTTTTGTTCATACAGCAGAAGAAATTCTAATCATAAGTCACTATTGCCTTTGATTTTCCATTGGCATGACTTAAAGAACAAAGAGAACAAAGAACAGTAGAGTACAGGAACAGGCCTTTTGGCCCAACAAGACTACATCTTTTACCTCTACGCGATCCGTATCCATCCATTCCCTGCCTATTCATGTATTTGTCAAGATGCCTCTTAAACATTGCTATTATGTATGCCTTCACCATCTCCTCTGACAATGTGTTCCAGACACTTACCACCCTCTGTGTAAAATGGCTGCCTGTCACAGCTTCTTTAAATATTTAGTTAAACCTATATCCCCCAGTAATTGACATTTCTTCCCCAGGAAAAGACTCAGACTATCCATTCTCCCCATGCCTCATAATTTTTGTAAACTTCTATCAGGTCATTCCTCATCCTTCGATGTTCAAATGAAGATAAAACAAGCTTGTCCAATCTCTCCTCACAGTTAGTACCTCTAAACAAAGCAATATCCTGGTAAATGGTTTCAGTAACTTCTCCAAAGCCTCCACATCTTTCTGCTACTGTGGTGACCAGAACTGTATACTATATCCTAAATGTGGCTTAACTATAGTCGAGATAGCTGTAACATGACTTGCCAATTTTTATACTCTATGCCCTGACTGATGAAAACAAGCATGCCATTTGACTTCTTGACCACTTTATCCAAATGTGTTACCACTTACAGGGAACTGTGGTTCTGTATGCCTAGATCCCTTTGTATGTTGATACTACTAAGAGTTCTGCTATTTACTATAGCTCCCTGCTGCATTAGATCTTCCAAAATGCATCACCTCGCATTTGTCAGGATTAAACTCCACTAGCCATTTCTCCGCCTAAGTCTCCAGCCTATCTATATCAAGCTGTATGCTCTGGCAATCCTCCTCATTATCCACAGCTCCCCAATCTTTGTGTCATCTGCAAACTTATTAATCAGGCTACCTATATTCTCCTCCAAATCATTTATATATATTACAAGCACCAGGGCTGCCAGCACTGATCCCTGCTGACACCACTGGTAACAGATCTCCAGTCTGAAAAACACCTTTCCACTGTTATTCTCAGCCAATTCTGTAACCATAGTACCAGCTCACTGTGGATTCCATGTGACTTTACCTTTTGTATCAGCATGCCATGACAGGCATCTCCCACCCTGCCCTATCAATTATCTTTGTCACTTCCTCAAAAAACTCAGTCAAGTTTGTGAGGCCTTCAATGCACAAAGCCAAGCTGTCTATCGCTAATAAGTCCATATATTTCCAAGTGTGAATAAATCCTATCCCTAAGAATTGTCTCCAATAATTTCCCTACCACTGAATTAAGGCTCACTGGCCTGCAATTTCCCAGATTATCCCTGTTGCCCTTCTTGAACAAAGGAGAAAAAATGGTTATTCTCAATTCCTCTGGGATTTCTTCCGTGAGCACAGAGGATATCAAGATTTCGTACAAGGCCCCAGCAATTTTCTCACCTGCCTCCCTCAGCATTCTGGGATAGATCCCATTAGGTCGTGGGGACTTGTCTACCTTAATACCTTTAAAAACATTCAACACCTCCTCCTTTTTACATAAAGACATGTCCCAGAATATCAACATACCCCTCCCAAGACTAACCATCCACTATGTCATTCTCCTTTGTGAATACTGATGCAAAGAATTCATTTAGGCCCTCACCTACCTCCTCCAGCTCAATTACTTTAAGTCTCTCCTTTGTCTTTGATTGGACCTGCCCTTTCCCTAGTTACCATCTTGCTCCTTATATATGTATAAAACACCTTGGGATTTTCCTTAATCTTGTTTGCCAAAGACATTTCATGGCCCCTTTAATTCTGGTGATACTTTAATTCAAGTATTAGTTACTTTAAAATATATGAGCTAACAATGGCATTCAAAAGAACTGACTGAGAAAAGGGCTTGCAAGTTTGAAGAACATACTTTTCTCATCATGTCAGATCAGAGGTAAAATGTGTTGAAATAGACTGCTATTCTTGACACTGGAGTTCAAGAAATTTGTAACATTAGGGCTTTAAGCATTAACGACATGTGCAATTATGCACAAGCTAATGACTAAATAGAGCACGCATTTAAGTTAGGAAACTTTTGACGAAGAAAGGCAATGTGTATTGTGGAAGTCCTGACTTAGTCCTACTTGACTAATGAAACACTTCAAAGGAGGCATCTGGTTCTTTTCCACTATAACAACTGAAGTGGGCAAGTACAAAGTCTCACTGCTGGAAGTCTTAATGCCAAGAAGTGTAAAATATACTGCCAAAACCTGGGGGGAGAAAAATGCAAGAGGAGACAAGCATGTTATTATAATCGTAGAGACAAAGCAAGATAAAGAAAGAGGTTTTTTGAACACAATGATAAACCATTAATTGTAACAGTCAATTGTGAGAAATGACATGCCAAGAAAGTCACTCCTCATTTTCACGAAGTAGCGAGTAATAAAAAAGAACGCTGAACATATTTTGGAAAATCAGGAACCTCCTGCAAAATAAAAGCAGCAACCCGGATCTAGATTTGTAGACAGGTGCATTATGTTGCAGTCCAGTTCAACAAAAGCTACTGGCAGCAGAAAATGGACATCGGACAGATGTGACCCTCATTCAGTTATTAGGTCTACATGGACAAACATATACACATTACAGTGATGAACTTCAAGAGGTAGCCCCTTATCATTTGAGCATATAATTGAATTAAGATTGTACTAAATCATTTTGATGTTTGTGATTTGTGGAATTGAAATAAAGTACCTACTTAGTGGGAGACACTAAATAAGTCTACAATAAGAGGAATCATTGTATATCTGTGCACTGATAGAAGTATTTCACATGTAAAAGAAACATACTTGCAAATACTATAGGTCATTTGTCTTCACGGGTCTTGAAATACTTTGGTCATTACAGTTTAGCTTCAGTCATCTGCAGCTAATCTGTCCAACATCAGCAGAAAAAAACAGAATATTCTGAGTAAAAGCCTAACCTCTCATTAGTGCTACTTCACTGCAATGTAGCTGAGGTCTAAATTCACTGGCTTGAGGAGCTGACAGTACAAAACTATCAATTATTTTGTTAATGCTCTGAATGTTGATTTGGGTTACATAGCAGTAATTTAAACACAACATAGCTTCTTAAATCTATTCAGGTATATGGCTACTGAAGGAACCTATGATTTCAAACATTTAGCCATCCTCCATTTGCATTGTTTGCTTGAACAGTAAGACTTAGGATTAAATGGTCTGGTTTTTTTTGGGAAAATGATGTGTTGAAGGACGACTTAAGAATATCAATATCTACTGATGGACATGTTATATTGATGGGGACCTGATATTCTCTGTTTATTTGTGTTACTGTAATGACCATTTCCCATTCAGGCAGAAAATGTAACCCAAATATAAAACAAAGAACTGGAAATCTGAAATAAAAGCAGAAGTTGATGGGAGAGAAAACAGAGTTGACGTTTAAAGTCTTCAGAAGGGCAACTGGACTCGAAACGTTAACTCTGCTTTGTTCCCCACAGATGCTGCCGTACCTGCCGAGTTTCTCCAGCAATTTCTGTCTTTATTTCAAAAAATGTAAGCCATACAGGCAATCTATTGCAGGCACCTTTGGATAGATTTCATTATTAATGTTATAATCACATGCACTTGCTAAAAATTGCCAATGTTTTGTTTAGGAGTGAAATGATGCAATTAGTTGGCAAACTGGCCATTCACTGTCAGGTCTGAATTGGTCTTAGAGAAAGAGGATGAAATGCTGAGGATAAGAATCTCACATCTGAACCAGTGATAACAAAACTCTGCATAAATCCTGGTATAATACACTAACTATTAATTGGCATGCAGTGTCCCAAATTTATAAATCCCACTGACAGAAACCACTGCGTTGAGACATAAAAGGTGCAGATGTACAGGAGGTACTATTTGAGACCATATCAGATCATGTCAGGAGTAAAATAAGTAATAATTAATTTAGCTACATTGATCTTGGAACTGAAAATACTTGAAACTGAAGTGAGTTACACACAAAAGATCTTATGATGGAAGGTAATCCCTACTTCAAGTCATTCTGTTTAACAATTTAGGACACCATATAGCAATTCACCTATCTGTTATTCTACGTACAGAAACAATTTTAAGTAATATTCTCAAACTTACTTTATAATCCCATCTTCCAAGTAAATATCAGCAAAAAATGACTGGTCATCGTTGACTATCTTTCCTCCTTTAATCAGTAAGCGATCGCTCTGGAAGGAATATTTAAATGATTAAACAGTTAAAGTGTGTTTATTTTAGTAGTGGATAAAGAAGAAAGACCATTGAAATATTAATATTGTGAGCTTACAATGCTCATTAAGCAGATTATTAGAGTAAGAGTATTATTATTCAGAATTCCTTTAATATTGCTATGTATATCATCACAGGGATTTGGTTAGCTTGGATGGCTGACTCGTGATGCAGTGTGATGCTAACAGCGTGGGCTCAATTTTCACATCCGCTGAGCTTAGCATGCAGGACTCCCCTTCTCAACCTCTTCCCTCACCTGAGGCACAGTGACCCTCAGGTTAAACCACCATCAGATGTCTCAGTCTAATGAGAGAGCAGCCCTATTGTCTGGTCAGACTATGGTGACTTTACGTTTGTACGTCTTTGTAAATGGTAACATCACTACGAAGATCATTTTCCTTTAATTTATTCACAGGATGTAGGCCCTGGTGGCTAAGCCAGCATTTATTGCACATCCCTAATTGCCCTCGAAAGGATGGTGGACAACTGCCTTCCTGAACCACTGCCGTCTATCTGGTTTCGGTAGACGCACAGTACTGTTAGGAAGTAAGTTCCAGGATTTGCGCCAGTAATAGGGAAGGAACAGCGATACAGTTGCAAATCAGACAGTGTATAGTTTGGAGGGAGACATGTAGTGTTCCCATGTGTCTGCTCCCTTTGTCCTTCCACAAGGTTGGGGTAATGGAAGATGTTGTTGAAGGAGGCTTGATGCGTTGCTGCAATGCATTTTGTATATGGTGCACACTGCTGCCAGTGTGTGTCAGTGGTGGAGAGAATGAATGTTTAAGTGGTTGATGTCAATCAACTGGGCTGCTACATCCAGGATGGTGTCAAGCTTTTAGGATGTTGTTGAAGTTGCACTCATCTGGGCAAGTGATGAGTATTGCATAACTCTCTTGACTTTTGTCATATAGATGATGGATTGGAGAGACAGGTGTGTTACACATCATCAAATTCCCAACCTCTAGCCTATTCTTACGGCCATAATGTTTATAGATATTTTTAAATCAAACTGTTCCTATGTCTTCTGGCCTAAATATATAGACACTTCCACTGCACCACGAGTGCAGTCCATAGTATTTATATGGCTCACCCAATTATGTTTCCAGTGAATGGTAACCCCCAGGATGTTGATAATGAGGGATTCAGCAATGATAATACAACTGAGTGTCAAGGGGAGATGGTCAGGTTCTGTCTAAGTGAAAATAGTCATTAACAGGCTCTTGTGAAGTGTGACTGTTACTTCCCACTAATCAGCCCAAGAATGAATGTTGTCCAAGTTTTCCTGTGTATGGACACTGAATGCTTCTGTATCTAAAGGGTCATAAACACTGAAATCATCAGCAAACATCCCTACTTCTGATCTTTTGATGGAAGGAAGGTCCTTAATTAAGGCTCTGAAGATGGTTGGACCTAGAAAATATCCTGAGGAACTCTTGAGCAATATCCTGGAGCTGAGATGATTCACCTCCTACAATCAATACCATCTTTCTTTATGCCAGGTATTACTCCAAACAGTGGAGAGGATATCCTCCATCTCCAATTCCTATTAATTTCATTTTTGTATAACCTTTGGAAAGACTTGTCTCTTAAAATTGGAACAGCAAAACAGGGATGGGTTTATCTTTGATAGACAATTTTAGGCTTATACATTTAAATTTCTCATCCTTTCATTTTTCTATTGATCTTCTAATTAATTTCTCAAAAACAGATAAAAACAATAACATGATAAGTTCAGATGCATTTTTTGGACCTTTAGAAGAACCACACAATAATGAAGATGAAACTATGTACCTTATCATCGGCACATGCATACTTTTGTAGTACAGGTGCCATTGCACAATGGGTAAATGAGGCTGTCACCCTGTACACAGCAAAGTTCCACAAACAGAAAATAAATGAATAAAAAATGTAAAACTTGAAGGAACTACGGATGCTGGAAATCAAAAACAAAAGCTGAATCAGAACTGAAGAAGGGTCACTGGACCTGAAACACCTCCACAGATGCTACCTGACCTACTGAGTTTCTCTAGCTATTTACATTTTTTTTTTATTCACAAACAAAAAGAGTTTTTAATGGTTTTCACTGAGGAAGGAAAACTGACCAGGACAGTAGAGAAGTAGGAACTGCAGATGCTGGAGAATCTGAGATGACAAGGTGTAGAGCTAGATGAACACAGCAGGCCAAGCAGCATCAGAGGAGCAGGAAAGCTGACGTTTCGGGCCTAGACCCTTCTTCAGAAA